GCAAAAAAGAAATTCAATTTAACATGGACCTGCAAGCAAAACTCCAAACATTAGGTCACTTATAATGGGAAAGTTTGCTCCAGGCCCAGGAGAGGCGGCAACAGTTCAGAAGTTCCCTTCTACTGACTCCCAACTGAGACAGTTTACACCAGGAGATAAAGTCTTTGTATTACTTGCCACCTCCAGCTCGAAATTACTTGCTAAGTGGCAAGGGCCCTTTGAGGTCACACGGTGAGTGGGAGAGGTCGACTATGAGGTTATGCACACAGACAGGGAAAATGAACGGCAGATGTACCACCTCAACTTCCTCAAACAATGGAGGGAGGCAGTCTCTGTTGCTCTGGAGACGGCAGTGGTAGATAGAGATGAGTCGGGGCTGATTGTCCAAAACAGCTGACCATCTCTTACCATCCCCCATCCCCAGAGGGCAGAATTTGCCAGATTGCAATCCAAATTTTTGGAAGTGTTTTCTCTCCTCTGTGGTAGCACATACCTCATAAAACACCACATAGCGACTCCTCCCAGCGTGGTTGCCTACCTGGACACAAAAAAGTGGTTCAGGACAAATTGTTGGAGAAATACTGGAGATGGGTGTGATCAAGGAGTCCAACAGTGACTGGAAGATCTCCATTGTGCTGGCACCCAAGGCCAGTGGGGTGGTCTGTGTTTGTGTGGGCTTCCGCAAGGTGAATGCGGTTTCGAAATTTGATGCCTATCCAATGCCTTGTATTGATGAGTTCCTAGGCATGGCTCATTTTTATTTGACCCTGGATTTGACCAAGGGCCTTTGACCTTGTCGCCAATGTCCAAAGAAACTTTCTCTACACCGTTTGGTTTACACCAATTTGTCATACTAACGGTCTTGCTTTTTGGGGAGCTGGCCTGCCCGAGAACCAAGACTAAAATGGAGGTGAGACAGCTCCTGGGACTGCTGGGATATTATTGCAGGCTTGTGCCTAATTATTCAGACCTCAGCAGCCCACTGACTGATCTCACTAAAAAGGGGGCACCAGACCCGGTCCAGTGGTTTGAGCAGTGCCAGCGGGTCTTTCTGAGGGTTAAAGTGGCTCTCTCTGGGCCCTTTGATTCACTCTGATAAATTCTCTTTCCCCTTTTGTGTTGCAGAGGGCTGGGGGCCATTCTGTCCCAGGTTGTGGAGAGGGAACACTGCCCAGTGCCATACATCAGCAGGAAGCTCTCAGTGCTGGAGTCTAAGTACAGGACTGTGGAGAAGGAGTGTTTAGCCATTAAATGATACAGGAGCTAGGCCCAGAGACCTCAGCCTCACCTACCATAACTACCCGGGCAAAGAGACGCCACAAGCAGTGTGAGTGAAACCGGAAACACAGCAAGTGGGCTGGCATCCATGACAGGCTAAAGGCTAATCCAGTCATACTATCCATACCATCCATTCCATTGGCAAATGTTTGCTCCCTGGACAACAAACTGGACTGCATTTCTCTATAGCAGACAACACAGTGAGAGAAGAGGGATTGCTGCATTTTTATTTTTATTTTATATATAGAATATTTTAACCACAAAATGTTAACCGCAAAATGCGTACTCATATTTGATCATGTTTAATCCACAATGTTATAGATGTATGAAACCAGTTTAGTGCAAAATGTATCATTGTACCCAGTATCTCAGTAAAAGGCTTGCTGACTAGAACTGTGTGCATGGAACAGGAAGTGTATGCTGAGAAACCGAGGCCTAAAAATGACCTATATGACCTTACAAATGCATGGGAATCCTGTGTAAAGTGGGAAACAGGAACAAGCTGTAAATTTAAGTGGGAAAGGCTTCCTTAAACAATAAGATAAGCATATGGGGTAACCTTGTGTCTTGTTAAAAACAGGATACACATGCATGAGAGTATGTGTCTTGTTAAAAACAGGATGTGGAAGAGTTTTCAGGTAAATGTATATAAGAATGCCTTTCTGAAGAGTGGGGCAGCTTTTGTCTGCAGACAACTGCTCAGCTTAATTCTGGAAAGAATAAAGTCTAATGGCATCAACACCCAGGCTCTCCAGAGTAATCTTTGATCTGCACTAATGGCCACAACAGAACCTGGCTCAACAACAGCATCCCTGATGCAGCATTCAGCTAAATGGGCTAACCACCTTCTGAGTGGACGGGGATGCTACAACATCTGGTATGACCCATGGATGGGGCTTTTTTTTGTTTACATCAACACAGAATGGCACACAAACACTGTATTAATTTGTAAATACAGTTCATTGCTGGTGGAATTCATGGCAGTCAAGTTTCAGCCTTACTATCTGCCAAGGGAGTTCACCATCACTGCTGTGTACATTCCTCACATGGCTAATGCTAAAGATGCACTACCTGAACATTAATGAACTACAATCTGCTCACAATGATGGCGTTCTCATTGTTGCTGGGGATTTCAACCATGCAAACCTGAAAACCATTCTGCCAAAATTATTCCAACATGTTGACTCTTCCAACATGTTGACTTTGCAGGACCGAATACACTGGACTTGGTTTACACAGACAAATAGGACTACTACAAAGCTGCACTCCGCCCCCAGCCCAGACTCTCAGACCATGTTTCAGTCTTGTTAACACCAGCTTACACACCACACCTCAGTGAGCTGAACCAGACACTAAAGAGATCAGAGTTTGGCCAGAGGGGGCTACTTCTGCACTCCAGGATTGCTTTGAGTGCACAGACTGGAAAGGTCATCTCGCTGATGTAAGTGAATACGCAGAGACAGTGACTGGCTACATTAACAAGTGCATTGACGATGTCACAGTCACAAATATCATCACCACACGTGCCGACCAGAAGCCATGGTTTACAGCTGAGGTCCACAACCTGCTGAAAACCCAGGATGCTGCATTTACAGCAGGAGATGAGTGCAGTGCTAAGGACGGTGAGAAAGAACTTGTCCCTTTGCATCAGGCTGGCAAAGTGCAATCATGCAATGAAAATCTCTAGCCACTACAACAACATCAAAGATGTGCATGTGGCAAGGTATCCAGGTCATCACGGACTACAAGATTCCACCATGTGTCACTGACACTGACAGTGATGCCTTCCACCCAGATGCGCTCAACTCCTTCTATGAATGGTTTGAAGCATTAAACACTGCACCAATGAGGAAATCCCCTCCCTAGGATGACCAGTTGCTCTGCTTGTTCTCAGCGCATGTGAGGAAGACGCTCTCCAGAGACAACCCTTGCAAAGCTGCAGGACCAGAAAACGTACCAGAACAAGTGCTCAAAGACTGTGCAGATCAGCTGGCTGATGTCCTGACAGACATCTTCAACATCTCCCTGAGCCAAGCAGTCGTCCCACAGTGTTTTAAGGCTACTACCATCATACTGTACCAGTGCCAAAGAAGTCAACAGTGTCAAGTCTCAATGACTAGCACCCCATAGTATGCACACCAATCATCATGAAGTGCTTCGAGCAGCTGGTCATGAGTCACATGCAGCTTGCGTACCGTCCCAACCATTCCACAGAGGATGCATACTCTTCACCTGGTACTAACCCACCTCGACAAGAAGAATACATACTTCAGAATGCTGTTCAAAGTCTTCAGTTTAGCTTTCAACACCATCCCCAGCAGCTGATTGATAAACTGGACCTGCTAGTTTTCAGCACCTTGCTCAGTAACTGGATCCTGGACTTCCTCACTGGGAGACCCCAATCAATTTGGGTCAGCAGCAAGACCTCCACCACCATCATCCTGAACACTGGTGCCCCCCAGGGCTGCTTACTCAGCCCAGTGCTGTTCACTCTGTTAACCCAAGTCTGCACTGCCAGATCCAGTTCAAACCACATTGCCAAGTTCGCTGACGACACCATAGTAGTTGGCCTCATCAGTGACAGTGATGAGACATCATACAGAGAGGAGGTGGAATGGCTCACTGGCTGGTGCAAAAACAACAATCTGTCTCTGAATGTTGACAAAACAAAAAAAATGAATGTTGACTTCAGGAAGTCCTTCGCTGATCTCCCCCCCCGTGCATAAATGGCTCCACAGTCCAGAGAGTGATGAGCCCCAAGTTCCTTGGTGTTCACATCACGAAAAAACTCAAATGGACAAACAACACCAGCTTCCTGGCCAAAAGAGTCCAGCAGCATCTGCCTGAAGAAGGCGAACATCCCTCCACCCATCCTCACAATGTTCTACAGGGAAACCATAAAGAGTGTCCTGACCAGCTGCATCACTGTCTGGTTTGGAAATTGCAACATCTCTGATCAAAAGACCCTTCAGAGGATAGTGCGGACAGCTGAACGCATCATCCGTGCACCTCTACCCCCTGTTCAGGACATTTTCTACTCACGCAGTATCTGCAAGGCCTCCAGCATTGTGGACAAGCCCTCTCACCCCTTTGAGATTATGCGATCTCAAAGTAAATTGTTAGTGGTGTTGGCTTTGCATTGAGAATTGTCAGAAGTTACATAAATAACCTAAAGTTTTGGTTAGCCTACATTGTGTACAAACAGACAGCCATCTTTATTAATACTGCATAAATCATAATGTTAATTAACAAGATTACAAGTTATTACTTAACTATTACCATTATTATGACTATTGAGTATTCATAAACAGTATGGTTCAGTTGTCTGTTAATATATATGCCTCATTATTTTATGATGTGCTGAAGATTAGTGCACATATTAATTCATCATTATGAAAGAATTAGTTAAGTATTAATATATTGCTTATTGGTGGACCTTATATTAATGTGTCAACAGTTAAATACTTGTGGCACATGAAAGCAGTTTATGATGACACAAACACCCATTCATACCAAACATGATGCAATCCAATTTTAAATTATGGAAGACGTTCAAATCCCAGTGTTGTTTCAGCTGCTCCTGTTAGGGGTCACCACAGCAGATCAATGGTCTGCATGTTTGATCTGGCACAGGTAAACCAAATGGCCTTCCTGACACAACTCTCCTATTTTATCCAGGCTTGGGACCAGCACTGAGAGTACACTCCCAGTGGCTGGGTTGGTTCCCTGCCCAGGAATTGAACCCAGGCTATGGCAGTGAGAGTGCGGGATCCTTAGCTACTAGACCACCAGGGACCTTTCACCTCCCACTGTGCACAACATTAATTAAGATTTAATTTAAACTCGATTTAAACTTCAACCTTTAACTATCATAATTCAGGCAAATTTTAAGTGTGCAGCAGGTGCAAATAAATCATTACCAGTAGCAGCTGATGTTGAAAACTACTTATCCATCACATCAAAATCATTGCCAATTAGATGGATCAATTAAAACTATGAATTGCATAGGCATACATAGCATAGCTACTGCATTTGCATTAAATCCTAAATTAAATTGAATTCTTTCCACATTCGAGGTACAAATCACATTGTTTTATGCTATATTTCTCATTATGTTAATTTAGGATAAACAAAGTTGGGTATTGTTTCATAGAACAACTGCATTGGATAGATAGGTATTTTAAAAGATTAAAAACAAAAAGAGTTTCCGCCCCACCTTTTACAGAGAGTTGTACAGCACTTAATGTGTTCCCCAGTGTGTTTGATGCAGCACAGATGTACAGCCCAGTGTCTTGCTGCTTGCAGTAAAGAACTTTCAAAGTATAGTGCCCTTCCCTGTCCTCAAACACTAGGTGACGTCGTCCAGGCACAATTGGTTCCCCATCTTTCTTCCACAGAATCTCAGGTTTGGGTTTACCTGTGACATAGCAACGAAATTTGGCATGTTTGCCTTCTGTGATCATGAACTTCTTGGCCTTAGCCACATTCAGGTGCTTTCCTCTTGAGTATGTGTCCTTCTCATGTGAGTATTTCCATTTTGAATACATGCCATTCTGGTCTGGAGATGAGTGGCCATTGGTGTAGCCATTTAGACGGTTCTTCCCGACTTGCTCAGGCACACTTTCAACCAACAATACAGCTCCAGCCACAGCTTCACCATACTGATTGACTGCTTTGCAGGTGTAGACTCCTCCATCTGGGGCCCGTGTTTGGAAGATCTTCAGCTGGAACCATCCTTCATTTTGTTGGCTGATGCAAAAGTGTGAGCTCTCATAGATCTCATTGAGTTGCTTGCCATCTTTCTCCCACACAACCTCAGATAAGGGATTACCCCACAGCTTGCATGAGAAGGCAGCATCTTCTCCTTGATCTACTCTCAAGGACAGAGGTTTGATGAGGAACCGGGGTTTGTTGTCCTGAAAAAGATCTGCCTCCATGTCCGACAAAGGCTGCTTGAGATTTTTTATTTCTTGTTTTGGTGGAATAACCATAATTTGCTGTTGTTCTTGCAGGGGATACATCATCTGAACATTTTGGGTTTCCTCTTCTACTTTAAGAGTAGCAGCTGCATAAGTATCCCCAATGCTGTTCTTAGCTCTGCAGATGTACTGTCCAGCATCTTCCAGAGTGACCTGACAGATGGAGAGGGTGCACACGTTGCCATCCTGGGTAATGCAGTAGCGACCCTCAGGGATAATGGGTTCATTCAGTCTCTCCCACAACACATCAGGTTTTGGATCTCCACTGATCTGACATTTAAGGACTGCATCTGACCCACTTTTCACCAGAACTGAACGTGGGTATCCAAGAACACGGGGGGCACCACCAAACACATCCATGGCTGCTGTTATTTAGTGATTTAGTGGCTTTCTTTACTAAATTTCAAACTGTAAAAAAAAAACCATAAATTTGCATCATCATTATTACAAATGTTTCGACTGATGTTTCAGCTACATAATATATGCTCAGTAAAAATACTCAACCAACATTCTTTTCATTTTTGATTGTTATTTTTGAGGTTACTATAAACATATTCAGATGTTGCACAAAACAATTAAGCACACATTGTGGATGGACATCAGTGGGAACACTGGAGTCTCTGAGATTAAGTGGAAAAATTCACCTAATCAACAGAGGACTTGGGAACAAAGGATTTTAATACCTAATGAATTCATTAAATTCACTATAATTATTAAAATATTTCATATTAAATAGGTTATCTATGCAGAAAGGAATTACTCACTATAAGCCAGGAAATGCCTACCCTGTTTCTTCTACTTAACAGCTGGTGCAGTATTTAAAATAGGCTATCCAAATAAAGGTGCGGGTATACCATTTCTGTTTGCAATGACATGGTTGTTCTAAATATTACCATTACTCAGAGGTGTAGTCAAGACATAGACACAGAGTAATGACTAGATTATTATTATTATTAGACCTTATTTAGGGGTACATTTAATCATTTTGCATATGTTCAATAAGATATTGTGTCATTCATATGATTTTGGAAAATTTCATATGATGTGCCAATTTCGTACACATACACACCAAATTAACAAAGCATATGATGGTATGATTTTATAATATGTAATTTTAATTATGGACATTTGTTAAAATTGTCGTTAAAGGTTATCTTTTCTTGTTCGTCTTGTGAAAGGTTGCTCAAAGAAAGTCGTGTTTTCTTTCATGCTCTCTTCAACTAAGGGTAACCATTATTAAAATGTAAGTACAGGTTAGAAAATTATGTATAATGAAGGTAACATTTTCAGTGGAGTTCCACTGAAAATTTCAATGACATAAAATTAAGCTACATTATTGTCTAAATAGTTAGTCACATAAAGAGACAAATCACAGGTAAACTAAACAAAGATAGTGAAAATGAATAATTATCCCCAGTGTAAGCTTCTATATAACCAGGCTGACCTTTGGTGTACAGATTGATGAAGATAGAAAAGCTCTTGGTGACCATACAACACTGCTAGAAATGCAGCTGACCTTTAATAAATTCCAAAGTAGTGCAATTCCATCCAGCTTTTCCTGTTACTGTCAAGCTTCCTTTATATGTGGAGATGTGTTTGGCTCATCTGTATTGGATCCACTGAATGTCTGTCTCACCCAGTCCTGAGACCTTCTGTGTCATTGTCAGCCAATGAATGCTTTCACAGCTGCTACCTCACCTTGCTAAAAATACTCACTCCAGCCACCATGTCGACAGGGCAAGATAAGGTCTAAGCATCTGTTCAATATGCCACAGAAGCTAAACTTAGACTCACAGATAACTTGAGTCCTGTGGTACAGAATGACTGACATGTGTGCATATGCATGCTCTGTGTATTGGACTATGTGGCACATCCTCTTCTTGGGGAACTAATAATGATGAGATGTGTCAGGAGAAAGTGGTGTTTGTTTCAGGCACTAACAGGGCTGGACATAGCCTGTCTTGATTGGGGTGAACTGAAAATATCTGGGCATCTTTTTTCTCATCATGATTGCCATGATTAGAATATTAAAAACATAATATTTGTATCATAATGAAGAACTGCAGATTTCCTGCCCATATATTTTGTTTAAATTTATTTTACTTTTCATTTCTACACAGCCATTCATGAGAATAGTAGTGTTGCTGTAGCTCAGTACTATCCTGTAGACATGTAGATGCATTTATTAATTTGTTTCTTTGTTTGTTTGTCTATATACCTCTAAACCAGGGGTGTCAAAGTAAAATTCTCCCTGGCCACATGAGCATTTTTATGAGACCCCTAAGGCCCGTAATCTAAGGCTATCAGTTTTTCAACTTATTTAACATATTCTATCATCTATGCTAGGTTACACAAATAACCATAGCTCTGAATAGGACATTTCTAGAAAAAAGTAGGCTGCTTTACTTTTACTGCAGTAAAAGTAGATTAGGATTTATAAGAGAAGGTGTCATTTTTCCCTATTACAAGCATGTTATTTTAATCATTTTCAGTGGAACCGTCAGAGATATTTTATGGCAACACTATTATATGGCAAGAAGGTAGATTGTCCCTTAAAAATGATCACAAAACCAGTCACGATTTTATTTCGCATGTGTCCTCATCACACCGAAAGTGTAATATGTTTATATTAAATAATCAGACTGAAAAAGATTCACAAGGAATGCTGATCTTTACTCATACTTTTTGACACAGCCAAACATACATCGGGACTCTTGTACTACTAATAACACAATTTCCAGTATAACCACTAGATGGCAGTAGCATAATTACTCATAGTGTATATATGTTGTTAACCAATCCAAATACACTCCATTCCTCCTGTCTCAATTATCAACTTCTGAAAAACCATAAATATCCTTCTTGAACTTTATCAGTATTAAGATGTTTATTCTGATCTTAATTAGTTTGGTTTAAAAAAAATCATTTAAAGAACTTTATCAGAAAGTGTTCTAACAAGAGTTCTAACAAACTTCTTGAATTCTTTTTTTAACTACCAAGGAAGAGGTAGACTGCTCTGCCCTTGGGTACCAAGTCAAAGGGGTTTATTCTGCTCTTTTTCTTTTCTTGGCCCTATCTATTTTGAAGGTTCAGTCTTGGAGGTTGTATGTTTACCTGCTTTGGGTAATGGCAAAATGGGAAAGGTGTTGATGTTGTGATACCATTGCTGGTTTAACAGGTGGTATTGGGCTCTCTCTCTGGGCTGGATTTCAGTTTGGATTGGGCTGGCAGCACTTGGTGGTGCTTGTGTTTTGGTGCATAGTGGTGGTAGTGGCAGAACAGACATACTGCTGTGCTGAGCCTCAATTTGAGCCTTGATGGCAACATTTCTGTGTCGGTGGTCTGTTGTAAATCCTCCCCAAGTTGTCTCACAGACTGACGAGCACTGAATTTCTGCACTGTAGCTTCAATATTGCTGTCCAGGCAGGGCCACCACATGTGGCTCATGGCCAATGACTTCATGAGAAAAATACCTGGATGTCATATGTACAACTCTCTCAGTAGTTTTTCTGGGTGTGCTGTGGTTACAATTGCCCTCATTCCCCACAGAACACATCCTTGCTCTATGGATAGCTGTGCTCTCCATGCAAAGTATGGTTTCAGTGCTTCATCAATAATACTGGCTGGCCATCCATTAAGGGTGATTTCTCCCACTTTGTTGAGTGTCAGAGACTTGCATGTAGTCTGAGCTGAGTCTATAACCTGCACCAGCAAATCTTCCATAGGTGAGCACAGAAATATGCAACTTTCCTCTGCCATGTTGTCCTGACAAGCTTGAGGTAACCAGGAAAGTCCATCTGCATTTGCATACTCCTG